ACCGAAGTTGTAATCTGTCATTTTGGAAATTTTTGATCTAAAAGTCAATTTTCTCACATTTGCGCACTAACAACTTAGGGGTATCTCTCTTCTTTGCGTCTTTTTTTCATATGGGAATTCTATTCAGACAATGTTGATAATCCAATCCTCGTTAGCTCTTTTAAGAGATACCAAACACTGAATATCTGTCTGCAGCATCTGTAGGAGCCGCAAAAGCGACCAAAATTATTTATCAACCAACTCATTACCTTTCTTCAAGGAAGAAACCTCTAGTCTGACATTCAAGCTCAAGGGACGTTTTCTGTGTTAATTGCAGACGTGAAAAAATTGAATAGACTCGAAGCTTGTGGGCCATCCCCTAACAGGCGACTTCGACGTGAAATCTGCAAAGTATGGAGATTAGCACTTTATCAAAAGTCGTTCTGCTTGTGTGTGTTTCGATGCCGACCGAATATCCCTTGAAGGCAGCGTCCACATAGGTTGTGGTTAGCCACATTACTGTACGACGTATGAGAAGACCCTAGAAGAAGAAAATCTGTGTTGGTCTGGTTCCTAACATTGCTTCCGAAAGGAGGAAATGGACCTGCATTTCCGTCTCATCCCCTCTCAGTTTGGAGCCCAAGCTACCTCCCACCTCTTCACGGAGTATAAAAGATTCCAAGAAAGATAGTGTGCGCGGGTATATATTGATAAACCCAATTTCAGGGAGTTATAGAACCAGCATACATAAGTGGCATAGAGGGCTCATGATCAAATGAATGGCTAGAGTGGAGCTTTGATGTGGTGTGTTGGATGATGGAAGGAGACATTGCTTGATTGTCATAGTGTGTAACTTGAATAATTTGTCATTGTGTTGTAGGTTTCTAGGTTAAGTAATGAAGTGTGACTTTGTACACAGTTAGGCTTCTTCCAGGTTCTAAACCATACCCCCTCCAAGCCAAAAAATCTCGATATCTCGGTGAGGAGTCTTGTCGTAGTCTAATTTCTTTACTATCTTGTGAAAGACAGCTTACTTGATATTACGAGGGCTGTCGCCAAAGGATCTGCAGTAGCAGATTTTTTTGAATCTCAATTTTACATGTGAAATCTGATCCCGTAATCGTGGCTGTTCTCCTTACATCAGATTCTTGTGCGACAGCCCGGTAAGATTAGGTTTAAGATGGTAAAAAAAAGTAGATCGTGAGAGAACCCCATCGCCGAGATATGGAGCTCAAAGGGAACCGCCCAACATCGATTTTTTTTGCAAAAACTCTTGTGTAAATAGACGAAAATCAACAAGACGCTGGATTTGGAATCTATTCTTCCAGAGCTATCGAATGATAAATAATGTGTGAAGGCACTTATGCGATCTCACCCTTATCCCCTTCCCAATGCAATGAAATGGGCGGGCTGAAATCGCATAACTGCAGCGTCTCACCCATAGCAGGGCTAATAAACATGGGATTCCACATATTATGCATCATTCGATAGATCTTGAAGAGTAAATTCTAAATCAGCTTATCGTTGATTTTCGTTCATTTACGCAAGAGTGCAAAGAAATCGATTTTGGGCGCTTCCATTTGACGCTCCAAATTTCATCGATGGGGTACTCTCATGATCTACTTTGTTACCGTCTTATATAGGAACGTTTAGTTGATATTAATTGATCCTCGCGAAGGATCTGTTATAAGGTAGAAGAAAAGCAACGTTTACAAGACGGTCAGACTTCACATGTAAACTTGAGATTCAAGAAAAACTGTTACAGCAGATCTTTCTGCGACAACCCTCGTAATATCAAGTAAGCTGTCTGCTACAAGATAATAAAGAAATTATATTACGACAAGACTCCCTCACCGATATATGAAGCTTTTTGACTTGGAGGAGATATGGCTCAGCACCTGCAAAAACTGTCTCAACTCTGTACAAAAACACTCTTCATTGCTTATCCTAGAAGCATACAATCCAATGACAAATTACTTAAGCTACAGCAGAAACTGTGCTCGCCACCAAGCAATGTCTCTTTCCAGCTGTCCAATAACCCACATCAAAACTCCACTCCAGCCATCCACTCTTTATTACAATGCGCACTTCCATGCCTGTTCATGTACTTCTGTTTCATGAGTTCCCTAAATTTGGACTTCTCTACATATCTCTCAAGTTCACATTGAGAATCAAAGAAAATTGAATCAGATTAAATTCTAAAATGAAATAAATACTAAAAAGACATAAATTTATGAGGAATTGTGAAAAAAATTGATTTCAAATGTTCAGATTTATGAACAAAATTCCAGTTCTCTTCCCCCCCCCCTTCGGTCGACGTGGGCATTTTTTGGACCTCTTTCACTTTTGGGGGTCAAAAATAGAAAATAGCTACGACCCCCTTCACCTTGAGGGATACCCATCTCAGACTATCGCCCCTATACCTACGACTGTAATAGCGCTGGGACACTTGTTCTCTAGTGTCAAAATAAGCTCAAGAAAGTCCATATTTAAAACCGGGACTTGAAGAGGCCTAAGAATGATACTTGGAAGACGAACACTTTTGTGGACACTGCTGAATACCGTTATGTATGCTGCAAGTATCTGATAATAGATAGCCTTCCTATTCCGCAAATTTGCAGCTGTCTAGATCTCATTTGCCGCAATTTTCTGAAAAGTGATTGAAGTGCGCGTGCGTGCCCGTTTTCCTCCAAATTTCCAAGCATTACATTGTCTCGGCTAAGCCGCTCTTTTTTCCAACGGTCATTCACTTGCCAAGGCTTTTTCTGCGCTTTTGCGGGAATCAACCGGCGCACAGCTGATCGACGATTGACTTTCCGACGGAAGAAGCTAGTCGCCTGCCTGCTGCCAACTGCTCTCACAATAGCTATGTCAGAGGCGCATTGGATTAGATTTGGGGCTGCGCACTCGTCTTCCACATCTCTCAGCTATTCGTTCACTCCACAAGTGGCTGCGAGAACCGCCGAAGAAGCGTGAGTGTTGGATTTTGACAGAGTGATGGCTAGGAGATGATACCGTTCCTCCATGCGGTAAGTGATCACTTCATCCAGTCTTGGTCTTACATCTAGACATCGCGAATTCCAGTTTCAGTTGTCGGGAATCTTAGCATCGTGTTGTTTGATAGTATTGTTTTCTCGCAGTGATGCTTCGCCTTCTTCTCATTCTCAAAGGATCTGAATTCTTGCGCTTATCCTCTCACCGTCCACCCACATTGAGGTCTGAGATGTTGATGCTGTGTAAATAGCGGGACTCCTAACAAGGTAATCGCCCAATTCGCGCTGCAAAATATGAATTCCGAGGCGAGAAATCATTCTAGAGTAGGCCGGTCAGGTGGCTCCACCTATCAACGTGGGGTCCGAAGATAATGAGCTCGAAAGCGGGTTGATAGAAATGGCGAAAATCTGATAATCATAATGAGGGGCGATATATGACAACTCTGGATACACTAAGGCTCGATTTTGGACTTTTTGTCTTTAGACCACCTACATTGTTGGAACGGACCACCTGCGCCGCTTCTACCTTTTGGAGCGATTTTCTCGCTTCGAAATTCATCTTTTGCGGCGGGACTTGCGCAATTACTCAGTTAGGAGCCGCGCTATAATACGGCAGTAGAACTATTTCCTTATTGATAAGTGAAACAAAGTATTTATGAGTATGATGACACCTTGTTGTACACCACCACCTGTGATTTACGCGACGTGAACGCTACAGCTTGAAAATCACATTTGTTGTAACACTTCCATAATAGGCACCGTTATTCCTCGTCTGAAGTAGGGCGAAGACATAAAACTGTGAGGCAGAGGGGCTCAAATCATTGCTTTCGCGCTGTCGTGCTGCTTTGTCGCAACGCGGCTGATGATGGAAGGGCTCTTTTGGTGCTTCAAAGCAATCTAATCGATCTCTCTATAAAAACATGATTGTCCATTCAAACGCGACGAACGGACGCTGCTGTTTGTGTGAATCCGCGCCAACCGCCGCACCTCACCAGCAATGCCCAACGACATCCGCCGTGCTCTTCGTCGCTATGTTCAGCGAGTCTTCAGGTGCTTCGCCCCACAATCGACGACGATCAACGCATGCACAGCCATGGCAGTTTGTTTTTTTTCTTCGATTTCGGCCCTTTAGGTGTTGCACTTATTGTTGATCTAGCAGTTCCAATATGTTCCTGCCCATCTCCCAAGCTGCATACAGAGTAAGCCGTGCCAGCGCCGTTGATCGATCAATACTCACGCGTCCACGTCGTTGGCACGGCGCTGACGCGGCGCCGGCACACGTGCATCTCTAAACGCATCTCAAGTTGCAAAGATTGTTTATACCAATTCATTTTCATCGTCTCACATTCTTCAGCTGTTCTCTTTCAATTCTATAAGATCTTATCCAGCGTACATAAATTACTGGGGGCAAGTGTAGGAAAAGCGCGAAATAAATCCGTTACACAAGTTAATGCTCTCATTTTTCGCCAAATGCTTTACTTCCATACTTTCTGGGACTGTTGTTGTGCATGATTCAAACAGCTTCTTAGATTTTTATAAATACTTGAATATAAATTGGTCTATTCTTTTGTCCCGTTATTTTCAAACTGTTTGCTCACTGGGTAAGGCCTGAGCAAATTTTTTGGACGATTTGTGCATTTACTTGCAGCTGTATCAATGCTTTGATTCTTCTCCATGCAGAGGACTGTCTTTTTTAGTTCTTCGCATCTCATTGTTGAGGTCTGTTCCCATGAACCAACAAAAAAATCACAAAAACGGAAAATTATCCATCTCAAGAAACAAAAAAGATTTCCTGCATATTTAAAAGTCCAGGCAACAAAAGAATCCCCAGAGAACGCTCAAATAGAGACGAAGCAAATTAACGATCGATAAAGCGCTTTCAATTTTGTGGAAGTCATTTTCTTGAGATAAATTATTTCTTGGCAAAGTTTTAAAGCCAAATTCTTCTCTTCCATCTCTCGAGTTGTAGAATTTTTTTGTCTAGAATTTACGATACCCAGAACGTAATGTAAAGGTAATGCTGTTTAGTTGTCTGGAGACTGGACACAAGTCGAAATTATCAGACTCTCTACTGAAGGTGGTGGACTGGGGTTTGGCATTGTCGGCGGAACCAGCACTGGCGTGGTTGTGAAGACCATTCTTCCCGGAAGTCCTGCTGATAAGGTTGGTAATTCCTATGTCTTGAAATGATCACCTCATCTCATTCCTGTCTCATCATCCTCTTCATACACAGTATAGCCGGATGGCAGTTTCATATTCAAATCGTTTTCTTTCTTAAAGGACCGTCCATTTAGATTGAGGATATTGAGATTCTGTGCTATATAATAGCGGAACCCCCTAACTAGGTAGTCGCTTAATTCCCGCTGCAAAAGATGGATCATGAAGCAAGAAAATCACTCCGAAAAGTAATAGCTCCCAGGTGGCTCCGCCCATACGTGGGCGCTCTGAAGATAATAAGTCAGTTGAGCTTCAGGGTATATAGAAGTATCGAAAATATGGATCATAGCGAAGGAGAGCTTTATGGCTATCTTAGATACATTAGAACCCAATGTTGGACTTATAATCTTCAGTTTACCCGTGTTGATTAATGGGCGGAGCCACCTGGGTCGCTTTTACTTACTGGAACGTTTTCCTCGCTCCCGAAATCACCTTTTGCAGCTGGATTGGGGCGATTATTTAGCTAGGGGTTCCGCTATTTTATAAAATCTCAACAACCTCAACTTGGTACGATACCTTAACTCTTCCTCTCGTCTCCGCGATTTTTCTCATCTTTTGAGGCCTCATTGGCCGTGTCCATATATGTGAGTGCTGCCAAAATTTTTGGTAACGCTTTGGACATCATCAGTGCTCTGGAACTTTTGATTTGATCAATCTGGAAAAGAAGCAACCGAGACCGGGCAAGCACATATTCTTTTCCCTTTTGCAAGCTACAATACCGATTGTATTCATGTATCATCACTGCAGCGCCCTATCTCGCTTCAGAGTAAACGCATTCTCATCCAAGGGCACCTTTCGACTCAGCTCGGCGCGGCGCATCTTCTGATACATAGAAGCGCTTGTTTGGATTCTAGGAGACCGGATTCCACGAATCGTTTCAGATTTTTGCTCACAGTAGTTTACTCAGTGTGCTTATTCATTGCACTCACTGAGCAACTACCGTGTGCAAAAATTTGAAACAATTTATGGAATCTGACTTTCTATTGTGTCTAAGCGGGCACTTTTCATATCAGAAGATGCGCCGCGCCGAGAGTCCAATGTTGTTCCTAGATCAAGAAAGATATGGCCAGGCTGCGGTGATTTTAAATGTAACGAGCGACTTTGTGTCTTCAAAAAATACGAGCGGTATTGTATGCGAGCTGCTCCATCTTTCATGCAATAGTTCTCCATAGTTTTAACGCATCCGTTAAACTCTTCAACTTTTTTTCCCTAGAATAAAATGTCTATTTTTGAGAGAGGTGGTAAGGCGAACCTTACATTATACGAATCTATTAGTTTTACATATCAAATTCTCTTGATGTTTGCAAAAACATTCTCTAAGAAACTTATTATATATGAATTGTGGCTAGTCCATGTCCGCATTTTTTCAATAATTGATTTGGTGAGTAGGCAAACCATCAAACAGGTAACGACTTTAATGAATTGCAAAACTGTTACAAACTAATCAACAATTGGATAAATGGTGTCAAAATATTAGGTTGTTGCAAAAGTTCTGTCGTTTCATTTTCAAAAATTTGTAACTCCGCGAAATTTCAACGGATTTGCTTGCTTATAATTTTATTAGAAAGGATAAGTCTTTCTCTTTCAAATGTTGTTTCGTGGAGCTTCTGTTTCGTACTGGGTGCGGAGATAAAAATGGAAAACTAAGACCATATAAGCTTTGACCATTTTAAGTTAGGTCACCAAAAATCTGGAGTGCTGCAGAAAAATCTGAAATCGTCAGTACATAAGTTTTTCGGCCTACCCTTTGCATCTGTGAAGAGTTTGTGCTGTTTGGACTTCTCTGTGAGAAGTTATGATTTTCGCGAAAATTGACAAATTAATTAATTTTGGCGTTTTCCATAGTAAACTCGATATTCATAACTTCTCACAGAGACATCCAAACAGCGCAAACTTTTCACAGATGCAAAGAGTAGGCCAAAAAACATATGTACTGAGGATTTCAGATATTTCTGCAGCATTCCAGATTTTTGGTGACCTAACTTAAAATGGTCAAAGCTTATATGGTCTTAGTTTTCCATTTTTATCTCCGCACCCAGTACGAAACAGAAGCTCCGCAGAACAGCATTTGAAAGCGAAAGACTTATTCTTTAATTACAAGCAGGCAAATCCGTTGAAATTTCGTGGAGTTGCAAATTTTTGAAAATGAAAAAAACAACGACAGAACTTTTGCAACAACCTAATATATCTTTCATCTTTCTGTGATGTTCCTCTTTGTAAAAATAAAACCATGTGGTAGAATTTTCGTTTTCAGGATCGCCGCTTGCGACCAGGAGATCATGTCTTGCAGATTGGTAACATCAGCACTCATGGCATGAGCAGTCAACAAGTAAATTTTCACATTTGCTTGTGGTGAGACCAATGGTAATAGGCTGAAAATCGATGCAGGGCCATTTTTTGTCTTTCTCGAATTCCCGGAAATATTAGGTTGGCTAAAGAATGATTTAGTTTTGGCATGGAAATCCTTATAAAAACTTCCCTAGTTGTCCTTTATCCATGAATTTTTTGTAGGCAAGTAGATCAAAGCTTTTCTATCACATACCAACTACTCACAATCTTAAATTATCAGTAAAGTACACTTGCCCCAATGTGCCTAAAATCCCAAAAGTACATTTTTGCGACTTTCTAGCTTCGTTTTTGTGCTCTAATGGACGTAGAGAACAGCAATTTGGAATCTGTATACAAAAAGATTTTCCCTGCTTAGCGACTACCAATAAAAAGTGTGATCTACATTTTGAATATTTGGCCGAAAAAAGCAAGTGTTGTCATATTTGCGCACTGTGAGAAAATTGGGGTTTCTTACTTCTTTGCAAATTTCTTTGATTGCTAAATAAACTGTACATGAACAGATTTTACGTTTCAATTCTTGTTGAAGTGTTCAAGGTACCGATTACTGGATTGTACCGATTATTGCGTTAGCATCGATTCCAAATATTATATTTGGCAGCAGTTTCATTTTGTTAGAAAAGGCGCAGCTGCAAAAATTTCAGACGCATTAGATTCTGGGCAAATATGTCCAATATCACTCACTACATAAGTTAAAGGCATTGTTCACCCAAACTGGGGTTGGTGAGATTTTGACTTTGTATGATAGTGGAACCCCTGACTGAGTAATCGCCCAACACTGTCCATGATGAATTCCGAAGCGAGAAAACCGCTCTAGAAGGTGAAGCGGCCACGAGCTCCGCCCATCAAATTGGATGGTATGAAGAAAAGTTTGACTGGGCTCCAGTTTATCTAAAGTTGTCATACGCCCTTCATTATGATTATCAGATTTTCTTTTCTATCTACTAAAGCCCGCTTTCGAGCCCATCATCTTCAGACTACACGCGTTAATGCGCGGTGCCACCTGGCCTCTCCTGATTTCTAAAGCGATTATCTCACTTCGAAACTCACATTTGGCAGTTACCTATTTCACGGATCCGCTACTATATAGCATTAAAATCTTACAATTCTCAATTTGAGGGCACGGTGCCTCTAATGCTCCTCTGTCGTTATATTGTAGAATCGGAATGTGATTTTGATCGTTTGAGGGCATCGCTCACTCAGATTGTCGACTTCCATGTTTTGATCGTTCCGGGGCCTTCTCATGTCCCTGGTTCTATGATGTCGAGAATCCGCAAAAACTCCAAAAATCCCCGCTCCGGAAAACCCGCAGGCTGGCTTTCCGGAACGGTGACTGGCTGGTGCGCACGGATGGGCGGGCATGGATGGGGAGGGCGGTGCCGTCTAGGGGTCCTCGTGCATCTTCGTTATTCCGAGCGATTTTCTTGCTTCCAAAGCAACATTTTACGCTGCGGCTTGAACATTGGCTTGATAGAGGCCCTACTATCATATGCTGACAAAAGCTCGAGCCCTCAACTTAGGATGGACGGTGCCTTTAAGGGCAGGGATTACATCCCGCGATTTCATAGCCTCGCGATTCTCACAACCCGACAACTGCTACAAGTTAATTGCACGCGGAGTATCTTGCATTTCGGTTGTGACACTTTTCCAACACGACTAATCGCGACTATCTATCACAGTGGAATGCAGGATGATCAGCATGCAATGATTACGTATCACTTGTCTTGTTGTGAGCATCGCGAAGTGATGAAATCGCGTGATGTATATATACCCGGCCCTTTAGCGGTGCTAAACTACAGTATCGCTTATGATCGTAAAAAATGTGTGTCGGGATTACTACCTGACAACCAGAGTTCTTTTGAATCTGGGGTATTCGTAAAGAGAATTTCTAATCACATTCAGATTATAGGTTACCAACAAATTGCTTTAGGTGGCGACGATTCTCCGACAACAAGATTCTATTGTTGAAATGATAGTAGGACGGCCGATCAACTATGCCGATAGACCACCTGATAATCCTGGTCAGTTTTTGCTTTTTGGAAAGACAATTCTGTCTGTGTATAGGTCACAAATGTTTAATGACTGAACGCATCCTTTCACCCTTTTCATGTTTCCAACATTCCGGTTTTCATTGCTTTAAAGGCAGTGTCCGGGCAAAAACTTGATTTTGAGATTTTGTGCTTACCCGGGCCTATTCGCTATGCTGAATCCGAAAATTTACATTGGAGAACGCGAAAACGACGAAAAAAGGCTCTAACAGTGGAGGAAAATTAGCAAGTGGGCGGGGTCTTCCCCACTGTGAATTCACGCTTTCAGCTTCCAGAGCAATGTTCTCGAATCCGTTAGCCGCCCTTACATCACTACCGATCAAGTGCAAACGAATGACTTGTAACCGGAATCAAAAAGATTGCCGCCGAAGCTGAGAGCGTGAGTTCACCGTGGGGAAGACCCCGCCCACTTGCTGATTTCCCTCCAGTATTAGAGCCCTTTTCCGTCGTTTTCGCGCTCTCCAATATGGATTTTCGGATTCAGCATAGTGAATAGGCCCGGGTAAGCACAAAATCTCAAAATCGAGTTTTTGCCCGGACACTGCCTTTAATGTCAGGACTGTGCTCCCAAACTCGATTCCAAATCCAAATTTAATCGCTTTCGAAGATCGTTGTTTTAGCCTGTATACATCATCTTTCGGAATGAAACTATAATTAGATCTCGGGTAGCTAAATTCAATTGTATCCATGCTTCTTATGCTGCAACTTTGCAGAAAAGTTTTTCTTCTGTTTCTTCTTGTTATACTTGCTGCACTTTCCTCACGTAGTCTTCTCTTCAAACTTTCGTTGAAACGAAGCTAAACAAGCAGCATATTAGTATAGCAGTCTGTGCTTATGCGACAGCTGTTCGTTTCATAAACCCTCAAATATGTACGATTAGAAATTCCCTGCTCGAATCATATTTCGCCAGTTCTTAACAACAATTCTCCTTTCGAAGAAATTGTAAAAATGTGACTTTTGTTTCGAAAATGGTCTTCAGGGTAGATGAAACGTCAATCTGATAATCACAATGGATTTATGACAATTCTAAACACATAAAAGCGCAGTTTTTTGACTTGTTAAAGGCAGCCGGGCAAAAACTCGATTCTTAGAAAATCCACTTACCGGGGTTATCCGCAATGCTGAATCCGAAAATCCCCATTAGAAGGCGTGAAAAGGGCGAGAACATGCGTTTTCCGGAGCCTTACAATTTGCAGAAATTCAAAAAGATCGGGGGACCCTGCCCCAAGGCGTAGGTTTCCCCACTTCCCGATCGTTTTTCTTGCTTTAGGTGGACGTTTAACCTCGTAATTGCGCGATGTGTCTGAGGGGGCCACTTTCGCATGGCAGTGAAATCCCAAACTCTCACCTTGTCCCGACACTGCCTTTAAAGGCAGTACATCGGCAGAATGAGACCCGTGACAAAACAAGGTCACAGGGTAGGAGCCCCCATATGGAACCTATCGGCCAAAGTCCGATCTTTCTCTGCCACTTCTAGCCCCCGAAATTTCAAAGCGAAAGCAGCGCTCATCTCCTGTCCTCTCCGAACCCGCCCACCCCATGGTCGAGTGAACGCGAAGCCCGTCATGGCGAAGACGCAGAGTCGTTGCGGGACCTCATGCTTATAGCATTGCGGCTGGCGCTCTGACCGCGGAAGTCACTCGTCCATGGGGTGGGCGGGTTCGGAGAGGAGAGGAGATGAGCAGGGTCAAGCCTGGGTGCTGCACGCCACACCTGGGGGGTCGTATTGAGGAGTCAAAAGGGGAGGGGGTCGTAGTTGGGTAATCTGATAATAGTGATAGATATTCGTGTCATATCATAATTAGCATGTGAATTAACCCCTGTAGACAAAGTGTGAGCGAATTCTGAAGATTCAAGATACTAGGCTACCTAAATGAAATGGTCAAATTCCAACATGGTTAACTTTGTTTCAAAGGTGGATTAGCTATCCGTTTTTGCACTCAAGACAAAGCACTACTCCTTCTTTGTCCACCTCAGGAATCCCGCTTCAGAAGACCTGCAAACTGGAATTAGAAGCCAACCAAAATCTCGTTTTTCCCATTTTTTGCTTTCGATCGCTGTGCTTTCACCAAATATTACTCAGAGCTAAGAAGACCAATCAGGCTTCAAACAGTTCTATGGAATCTACAAGGTTTAGGGTATCGATTCATATAAATACGGTTCTTGGCTTCTAATTCCACAGTTTGCAGGTCTCCTGAAGCGAGATTCCTAAGGTGAACAGAGAAGGAGTAGTGCTTTGTCTTGAGTGCAAAAGCGGATAGCTAGTCCACCTTTGAAACAAAGTTAAGCATGTTGATTTGACCATTTCATTTAGGTAGCCTAGTATCTTGAATCTTCAGAATTCGCTCACACTTTGTCTACAGGGGTTGTTTCACATGCTAATTATGGATATGTTGCACATTATGTTTGACAGGGCCTTCAAGTAATGTTATCTTATAGTTCAGGGGGGGGGTCTTATTAAGACTGCAATCAGGGGGGGGGGGTCGTAACCAGCGATCGTGTGCCACACCCTTTTGACCCTGGAGATGAGCGCTGCTTTCGCTTTGAAATTTCGGGGGTTAGAAGTGGCAGAGAAAGATCGGACTTTGGCCGATAGGTTCCATATGGGGGCTCCTACCTTGTGACCTTGTTTTGTCACGGGTCTCATTCTGCCGATGTACTGCTAACTTCAGACCACCCATGTTGATGGGCAGAGATCCCTGGACCGATTTCACATTATATGGCGATTTTCTCGCTTTGGATTTTATCTTTTGCAGCAAGGCTTGGCCTAATACTTACTTAGGAGCTATGCTATTATATAGCATCATAATCTCACCATCCTCAGTTTTGGATGAACGATGCCTTTAACAAACGTACCATTAATTAGAAAGGTTTTTCAATTTGAGGCTATACTGTCAAATATAAGAACGCTAGTAGTTATTCTATAAATATCCAATGGGTTCTCACCTGCAAAATTTCCATTCTCTCTATTCCCAATTAATAATACGCCTAAAACTTAAGCTCATAAATGAGGGCAAATTTTGGTAAAGGTCTTTGTATGTGTACAATAGAGCCCCTAATTCGAGTGGAAAAGACGGATTGCAGCGAATCGATCTCGACGAAACCGTCGAAACTTTATGTAAGTTGGAAAAAACTATAAAAGATTTCAAAATTATATTCATTGAAAAGAATTCCACGGATCGCCGCAACGAAAGAATCGTAACGCAGTCGTCGCACTCTATAATTTCTGCATGAATAGATCTTTCTCATTTTAATGGATGTTTCAACAATCCCGATCTATTGTTGTTTTTGGAAGGTTGAGGACAATTTTGGAAGGTTCGTTTTTGTGTCAAGAGCAGAGCGCCAAAATTGGTTTGAACACAGCTTTGTCAGACATGTCCTCAACCGAGCAAAGTCTCTATATGTGACACTGGCTACTTTTGGCTGTGGTAGCCCCAGCAGACTCACCCATCATCTTTTTCTCTTCCTACTGCTCGTTTTCTTCCATCTCTCGCACCCCCTTCGTTTCCTCAATTGAATTTGACGCACAAATGCCAATCATTTCTTTATGCTTTGAAGTCTATCCGTTTACTGATTCGCGCATATTCTCATCTCTCTGCTAGCCAGTATATCTTTGTTGGCTTTGGCTTGCTGAATGCATATGCGCATATGCATGCATATGCGTCTTTCGTTTCTTCGTGTTTCTTAGACTATCCCTGCTTTACTTTTTAGACTTTCGTTACTTAGCTATCTTTTCACTTTATCTCTTGCTGTCAGTCTGCTGATGCTGTCTAGCCATTGTTACCACATAGGTTAGATAATAAAATCTTTTCCTCAAAATTTATACTCGTGCTGTCGCGTTAGCAAGTCAGAAAACGTACGAAATTTTCAATATAAATAAAGCTAAATCGACTGCTTAGCAATCACACTCAGGCTTCCTACTATCTACAAAGCTCATGGAAGCCATATGACGTGATTACTGGATTTGCAATGCATGATGGAAGCTATACATTGAGCTTATAACTTTTTACTTTTGTTTCATTTCCGAGAGTACCCCATGAAGATAGACCATGGAGAAATGGGGATGAAAACCTTTCATATTGTTCTTGACTATTTCAAATCCTCTCTTGTATGTTGCTCCTCAAGTGAGACCGAGGACGTGCAAATAGCGCAATTAGCGTTCATACTTGAGTAGAACGTTCGCTGCCATCCACAAACAATTCCTGCAGCCTTTCTGCCCCCTATTCCTAACTTGTTGATTTGCTTACAACGTATACTAGATTACTTTTCTACCTATTAAGCATTCTGCATCATGACTTCCACTGCTCAGTAGTGCACGAAAAATTGTGATGTATGAGGCGCCGATCTGACCCAGTTGGATTGAAGGCAATCCATCAAACTGAAGGTAGTGAGATTGAGTTACAATAGAGGGGCCCAAGATTAAGCAATCACACAAGTTTCAGCGCAAAAGATGGATTCAAAAGCGGAAAACCGCTCGCGAGATAAGAAGACACGCTGGCGCCCATCAACGTGAGTGGTCTGAAAACTGCAAGCTCGAAACTGGGTTTGCAGTAGACAAATATGTCGCAAATTTGAGGATCTAAATGAAGCGCGGATCTATGACAGTTTTGATACATCAGAGCCCATTTGGACCTGTTATCTTCAGACCACCCACGTTGATGGACGGAACCAGCGTGGCCCTTTTCACCTTCTGGAGCAATAACCTCTCCTTGGAATGCTTCTTTTGCAGCGAGACTTGGGCGATTAAAAGTTGAGGGCCCAATTGTATAACATCAAAACCTCATCACACTCAATTTGTGTGGACCATACCCGATGCGATCCCCACTGCTAGGCCAACCAAGTCCTCTACTCCGGGGATGGTAGTTCAGGGCCGCATGCTATAACATGCCCGACGAAGAGGGGGCCACAGCTTGAAAGAAAACTTCATATCTTGAGCTACAGATATCTGGATTTCACGTTGTTTGTCAATCCGTAAGTATTTCTGCTATTCTTCATTATAAAGTATCAAACAGGAGCAGGGCCCGGCAGGAGGTGGCATTTCAGAATTTTGAAAACGATATCCCCTTTGAAGCCAAAATTTCTCACGACTTCTCCTTTGACCCTATTTTTGGCCCCCGTAAGTCCCTGACAAACAGATATACACAAATAATAAGATGGGTGGCCTCAGCGCTTATTATAGTAGTACTACCTGGCTTTCCTGGTCCAGCCCGGGTCATCGTTTGAGAGGATGGTCAAAAATTACACTTACTAACGACTTATTACTAACGACCCAAAAAAGCGAAAGTACGGAAAACTTGACCATATTGCGAAAAGTGAAAAAATACGATTACAAAAACAATTTTTTGCATAGAACATTACGATCAAATATGATCGCTGAGCCTTCTGAGCCCTTGTAGGGCTTATCGAAGAAGCAATCGGTTGAAGACTGAGAAGATTGCTTCAATCAGCGATCAGTAATCTAGCAAAAAGTCAATTTTTCAAAGTTTCCGCGTCGTCTGTGCAAGGTGCACCGATTGCGATTGGAGCGCGCTTTCCGAGGCCGACCATAACGCTGTGAATCCTATTTGGGGCTGTATCGAAGCGGTGCCTTGGTGGTTTTGGAAGCGGATTTGAACATGTAGTAATACTCTCGACCTACGCCCCATTTATGTAAAGAAATCCGGGAAATTATGTGAAGGAAAGCAGGGAGCCACCCCAGGTGGCTCCCAGGTGGCGCGGGAGCCACCTAATTTCGAAAAACACTTACCATTTTTTAAATTCACATAAGTTTCTCATAATTTTTCATACTTTGTTACTTAGTCCTACTGCGCATATACACACCAAATCCCGCGCAATTTCGTCACCTCTGCGTTGCAAACGAGCCATTTTTCCATTTTCTTGATAGTGGGAAATTTTCAGAAAAAACCTTGCTACAACCTTCAGTCACATAATTTTTCAATGAAACTCCTAACTAATCTCTTACAGGCTTGTGTCCACGTATGTACCAAGTTTCGTAGCATATCGTCATCTGCGCGTTGCGAACGAGCCAATTGAATGCGCATCTTCATTTACCAATTTTACAAAATTTTCGGAAAAAATGCTTATTACTCGTTCCGTTCACATAAGTTTTTCATGATTTTTCATACTTTGTTTCCGTTAGCCCCTCTCCGTTCGCTTACAAATTTTGGTGCCATATCGTTACGCATACATTGAGAACTCGTCATTTATGCGTTACAAACGGCGTTGTTTGAGCGACGTCGCGCGTGCGGCAGTTAGCGACGGCGCGGTTCCACGCGCGCGAACTCCAGTGTTCGCCTGTTGAGGGACATAACATGTTAAGATAAGCAGCGAGCATGACCAATTTTTTTCCGGGGCTCCGCCCCGGACCCCAAAAAACGACTTCCCCTTTGCTTTTTCGGGCCAAAAACGATATCCAGCTTGTGAAAGCGCCACGCCCGCCGGGCCCTGAACAGGAGATAGAAGCTGTACAAGCCGCATTTTCCAGCTTTTTATATGACCCTCTAATGATCCTAGGTGGTCCACCGTCCTTTCCTTTAAACGTGCCAAAGTTTCACTGTTTTCATCTGAATAAATGTTGCTAAGTAGGAAATGGTTAGAACTTAACGCAGCCATTCCAAACAAGCTGTATATCATCAAACTCGCCTTGAAGCGCTGATTTCATCTTATATATAAAGCTGAATGTCTGTTTGTATGTCTGTCTGTCTAATTAGTTAAATTAGATAATTAATTAAATAAATATTAAATCAAAATCAAATAATTAAATTAGTTTTCGGAATTGTCGATTACTTTTAAGGATTTTACCGATTTTTTTTGCAAAGTTTGACCTGCGGGGCTGGGATTTGGCACAGAGGGGTAATCGAGCATGCTGATTACGAACACAATATTAGTTTGGCGCTATTCGGCTACCCGGGCCCCGAGATTTTTTTTTGTCGTAGAGCTTGCTCAGACTTCGTGCATACGGGTTATCTTACGTGCTGAAAACATATATCACACTTCCTCCGCAGAACGTCTCTCCGTGTGGTTACGGTAGGGTACGGTAGGAAGAATTACGAAATTCATACTCTCTCTGCATATTGGGACCTTTTCATAGAGTTATGGTGGTTATACGGGATGGGGTCGAAAACATAGACATTTGCTTCAAACTTTAGACATTTGCTTCAAACTTCGTCTAGGGTGGTCATTTAGCGCGCTGAACATGAATATATGCTGATTTCGCAGGATAATTCATTTTCTTGGGTTACGGTGGGTGTAGATGGGTCGAAGTTCCAGATTTGCTCAAAATCTTACCTGTAACGGTTTACAAGTATACTGCTTATGAATATGATGCTTGCTCGCTGTCGTAACGCATTAGTGAAGTTATGGTGAGTTGCAGGGTTTGAATGGACATTTTTTCGCTTTCGGGCCAATTCAGATCCCAGATATTCACGAAATGGGGAAACGGTTGTTTTGCATGGCGGTCTCCAGCGCCATCCTGATAACCTGTCCCAACGTGTAACGCACGCGGCAAATCTCCCTCCCCCTGTTTTTGCTTAGGCAAAGCCGCCGAAGGGTGTTTCGCGCGCGGCAGTGGTGCTATAAGGAAAGAATTAAAACCGTGAGAAACTTTTATATCACATGAATTGCCATTATTGGGGATTAAGCACGATATTCTTGAGACAGCACTTTAGCTAATTCCCTGCCAAGGTTTCAGGCAGGTTCATGATTTTTACCCGCTGCCACGCGAAATGTCTACCATATTCGTCATCAGCGGCTTGAATAACCCCCATATACCGAGTTTGAGCAAGACACACCACAAAAACATTTTAGGGCCCGGATAGCCGAATAACGCCATCAGTTTTTGGAATTATCCTTACTTTTATCGATTCGTTTTGATTTTTTTATCGATTTCGACTTGTTTGTTTTTTTTGCAAAGTTTGAGCTACGGGGCTGGGGGGTTGATGAGGAAGGTAGGTGAGTATACTGATTACTCACACAGCGGGAATAGGGGATTGCATGTAGAAGTGGGCACAGGTAAAGGTGTACAGGGATAGAAATGGAACCTTTATCGTTTTTAACAGGTCCGGGCGGAGCCGGGTAAGCCAGCTAGTATATGTATATTATCTGCCAAGCGCCTATGTGAATGGAGTTATGAGCGCTCAAATATGAGAAATGATTCGAGGTGCAACGAATATAGTTCGTTGAAAGGCAGCCTTATGGTGCGGATTTACAGTGGCTATGGGTATTCTAAGTACAAGGAAGAAGCACATTCACCAAAGACCTACGTATGTAAGTGTTTTCGAAATGTATTTTGTGGAATATGCGTCACAGGACAGTTGACAAATCGCACATTTAAACGCTCATAACTCCGTACAGATGGTCGCTTGGCAGATAATAAACTTAGATTTGAAATCAGCGTTTCAAGGCGACTCCCATAACATATAGATTGTTTGGTGTGGCTGGGTTAAGTTTTGACCATTTCCGCTAGGCAAGTTACTGTTAAGAACAAATGATGTATCGCAGCCTTGAAAATTGCTATGAAGCAAAAGTCGAGCATTTGAGGTTTATCAAAAATTTCAATATTTCAATCACTCAATTACCCTTATTAGCAAGCATGCTTAGCACTTTTAGGTTGATAATCAGTACAACTTTGGAGTGTTTTCGTTCACATCGAAGAAAGAGGAATGAGTTTGAAGAAAAGACGTTGGCGGCTGGGATTATGGGGGAATTATATAAAAAGCTGGAAAACACGACTTGTGCAGCTTCTTTCCTGTTACAATGTTCGTAATGAAGGATAGTAGAAATATTAGGTTGGCGGATAATTGTTACACTTTTTTCGTAAATTCTGAAAAGTTTCAGAAGTTCTCTAGAATCTTCAAAATTGCTCCATATGTAGGCCACGGCAGGACGTACACTACGGTATGACTGATGCCACAAATGCACAATCAGCCAGCAACTTTACAATAAGTTTATGAGCACAGTCAAAATTGTCACTTTTTCTTTGATTTTCTTCTCTGCGTCTAATTGTGTTTCATCTCTCCCATAATTTTTTTAGAACATATTTTCGCATCGTACCTTTCATGGTAGCACTTTTGTGCTGTTAGCACGCCAAAAACAAGTGGTGAAAAACAACTTAAAAAATTACAAATTCGTCAAAAAATTTTCTTTTTGTGTGCATCGTGTAGGATTTGATACAGAAAGGTTGGAAATAATTTTTGCAGATTTCTAAAGATTTCTTCATGTCAAAATGCCAATGTGCGCTGACATGGCGCAACATGTAGCTCATGTGATCGTGTGCAGACATGATTGTGCCATCCCCCTATGTTCGCTAAAAACTATGGGCCATACCCTGCCCAAATACCATATCGCCCGATTTCCTCCAATCACCTGGAACAATGCCAGCCCGCTGACAAAAATGTCCGTAAAATGTAGTCCCACCAATAAAGTGGGTGTTTTGCGCACGGACCGCGGAACTGACATTGCCAGCGGGTAGGCCTTTGCACCCCGCCAACACTTCTTCGCCACGACTCCTCCTCGCGGATATGTTAATGGATGTGGTCCTTACAATCAGTGTAAGAGTAATTTGGAAAGATTGAAGCCTTGACTTGTTAGTCGGCTGACCTCGCAAGCGACTGCAAATGGGTTTCGTTCACAGAGCTTCATTTACTAAGTAGGATGTATTCAGCTCATGTCTGTAGAGATTATTGAATACAGCGAATCCCTTGTTTTTTCAAAGTTGTGGTCTATCTTTTTCATCCTCTGCACGAAAGAGTTCATCTTTCAGAGTGTTGGACAATGTCAACGAGAGCTGCTCTATGTGCTGCTTCATTGGAGGAGCACATCCAGAAGATACAAGCAAGTTCACCTCATTCCCCGCAGATCACCCCTTCGACTGTCTCACCTTCTGTCAGCCACGATGAAGTTAGAGGTATCTTGCCCATTTGCTATTTTCTTTTCGTTTTATCTGCCTTGTCCATCTACTATCGATTTCCTCTTTCTTCCTAAGCTAAACGACAAAAATGTTTGAATTCGCGTGGCTATTTGTATAAGGTTGTACGAATTCTCTCATTTTTGACGGAGTAACTTTTACATTTTCCAATACGTTCCATTGTTTCGACATCGATCCAGTGGACGAGAATAATTTGCGACGATGGAAGCAAAATCATTGCGAGCTCACCGCAGATTCATACTGATGAAGATAAGCAAACAATTTTGCATTTCATAGGTTGAGCAGCAAAAAATGCTTGACGAGCGTCTGATCGGAGTGAAGATTTGAGATGATCTCATACCAAAGCGCCCCGTAAAGGCATCGTTCACCCAAACTGAGAATTGGTGAGATGTTGACGTAGTGTAATAGCGGCGCCCTTAACTAAGTAATCGCCCAAGTTTCGCTGCAAAAGATAATTTCCTAAGCGAGAAAACCGCTCCAGAACGTAGAAGCGGCCACAAACTCTGCCCATCAAATTGGCTGGTCCGAAGATAATGAGTTCAAACTTCGAGTATCGAGAATTGTCATAGATGCACCCTTCATTATGATCATTGAATTTATCCCCTTTCTGCCTACTTGAAGGTCATTTTCGGACTCAAATCATCGGGCCACCCACGATGATGGGCGAGCCTGCGTGGCTGCCTCTACTTTCTAAAATCATTTTCTCGCGAAGTCATCTTTTCCAGCGGGACTTATAGGGGCACCGTTGTTATACAGTATTAGATTCTCATCATCCTCAATTTGGGTGAACGGTGCCTTTAATCGAGCTTTTTCAAGGACTTAATGGTGACCGACCCTGACCAAGGCCCGGCATGAGTACGTTTCTAGGCTTTTTGAGAACGAAGTCCCACTTAACTTTCTCAAAAATTTGCGAATTCCCCTTTGACCCCGAACCATATCTGTAATAGGATAAAGGATAAAGGATTCGGCGTCTTCAATACCCTCTGCGGGCATGCGTAGAACGCACACTACTTCATAGTCGAGGAGACAATTGTATGCGTGCAAGCCTATTACATTGTGACTTGCGGGGGCCAGCATTTACCGAGGCAGTGCTTTTATCCTCCCAGATTACTCTGGTACGAGTTTGGCGGCCCCGAGGGGTAAAGGGTTTGGTTGGGCTAGGGGCGGGGATCGAACTTGTGTCCGATCTGGTCATAGCGGCGCCTCATACCACTATGCCACTCGTCCTCCTTGAACGAAGTCCCCCTTGACTTATCTGTAGTAGACCCTTAAAAAACGAGATCGACCGAAAAAGTCGCAATTTTTTGCGTCTTTTCGACCACAAAAACCATATCCCCTTTGCTTTTTCGCCCCAAAAGCGAAGTCCAGCTCGTTTCTATACGATCTGTGCCGGACCCTGACCCTGATCCACGGCTAGCCGTTCGTTTAGCGCTGTAGGCGTGCTCAAAGTGCGGCGATTCGCAGAAAGCCCCTCGTTGCCTTTGCTTATTCTCCTCATCGTTTCCGTCGTAAATAACTGTCGCATTTCCGGGGGATTTTCCCCGCACAGCGCCATCGATTTTCTGCCGAATAATTAGCGTCAAGTCTTGCCAACTGCACAGGTTTTCCCGGCATTCTTGAGATTTTCGTCGTTCTTCATATCTGCTTTCAAAAACATCTTCGCTAATAAAAATGGGTCTTAAGTGCTTCGTTACGATGCGATTAGCATTTTGATGACTCGCCTGCGAGCTATCGATCACACTATCCATCCGACTTCTATGTGTTTTGGTTGCACTCTATTTTTTGTATGTTATGATCTATAGGAGAACAAAGGAAAAAACTTGTGATTTAAGATCTTCTTCTATGTATTTACAACTTTTTTCTTGTGTCACCTACCAGCTATCAGCTGTATGGAAGTAAATTCAGATTGGGTCAGATGCCCAGTTTGCTTCTGATTTCATTTCAGCGTTTTCAAAGCAGCGATCGTGTCAGCTCGATATGCGAGAAGCACACATTACTAGTTAATCTTCTATTATTGTTCAAGCTTAAAAACAAATTTTCTCGCGCTGTGGGCAAGATCACATTGATGGAGGTCTTCTTGCAAAATAGTGCTTTTCAAGGTATCTGAAATATGAGGTTTCTGCAGGACTTGCACCATACTTTTCGGAACTCCGCAATTTCGTCCAAATTCGAGGTATCTCTCTAGTTATGTTTTGTAGGGAAAATTCTGCAGTGCTTGAAGCAAAGTTATTGCTAGCATATCATTGGTGCAGGATGATAGAGAAAGCACTCAGGTCATTTCTCTTGGCGTTTCTTTTTCTTTGAACGCGCTAAAAGATATAAAAATCTAAAATAGGGGGTATCCCAGCAATTTTTGAGCTTAAATTTGCAGCGTAGTAAGTTTGAGTGAACTTTTGCACAAGAGTGCGTCGTTCAATTTGTCAAGAAGAACCGAAAAATTCATACTGTTTGTAACGTGTATTTTCGGAGAACATTCGAAGCAAACAATATCGCCATTTGAGGCTGAGTCAATTAAAATGCAGTCTTGATAGCTCTCGCGTATGTTTAAAATCCATTGTAGAGCTAGCTTTACTTTACAATACCGCCCATGATTTGTAGAAAAAAGCCCCGGTTACAGGTGATATTGTATACGTATTTATTGGGCAAAACAAAACACTAGTTTATGCTCGTTATCATTGATTAAGGTGTACAAACGAACGATGTTTTATCACTGATTGTGAGAAGAAAAAATTTTCAGGAACAAGAACCCAAAAAAGCTGAAAATTCTCAACCAAGTCTCTTTAATTCCCTGATTTCAGCTATGTATGATGTCTGCGCTTAAATAGTGTTCTACCACTGATTGAGAGAAAAAAAATTAGGAAAAAACGGAAGCTGAAAATCCTCAACCAGCACTTTAGTTCGCTGATCCCATCCATAAGGCTTGCATTTTTCACAAAAATATTGCTAGAAAAATTACGCCGAGTACACCATAGTTGCTTTTCTGGAAGTCCAAGAATTTGATTCCAATTTTCAACTGTTTTGCAACAGTTTGGCAATGCCATTCTCATCCTTGAAGTGTTTATCATTGCGAATTGCAAGTTGCACAGGAAGAAATTCAAATAGTTGCGTCAAATGTGATTTACTTGAAGTTTAAAGCCAAAATTCTGACTTACATTAATTGCAAAAATCTATCTCTCTCCAAAAAACCCCAAGGACTTCCAAATTGCTCCCTCATATACTGTCTACATCACAATCTTATGCACAACTGCTTTATTTCCATAGGTAGAAATTAGAATAACGATTGTCATCTTCGCCAAAGAAGTCCTAAGCTTTTCTCAGATAAGTGATTTTATGCCTTTAGGAGTAAAACCACGAGTTTTCAATTTTCAAGCGTTGGTTTGAGAAATATCTGATTTAGCACAAAAAAACCCAAAAACTCTTGGCCTATTGCTTTCGTATCGCAGCCATATAGAAAATTTACTAACTGTATGTACATGTGAATGTCCGATTTAGAGAATGCATGCATGAGCAAGAGTCCGTACAAAATTTACAGAAGGAGATCCGCTTTTTCATGTTTGTAAAAATTTTTGTATTAGGTTGTAACAGATTTGAATCGGAGGGTAATTCGGAGGCACGCGGAAGGCGACAATGCACGCAAAATGAAAGCACTGTAAAGTCGCTCTTGCTAAATACAAAATTTTACTTATGGCATCGAGTCATGTATCTGGTCCCACCGCCATTCCCACTTGCCGTGTTACTTTAGCACCGAAGAATTTTGAAAGGCACAGGATCTGGGGGACTGTCGCCTTCCGCACCAGACCCATTTTATACAGAGCAGAAGGACGGCAGCGAGCATTGAAGTTTGCTTCAAAATTTCTCGATTCGAAAAATCTTAGATGTCATGACTTAATATGCATTTTGTAGTGCAGCTCCCATACAAACATTATGCAAGTTTGCAAAAAGGTTGATTTTTCGCGATGAATCTAGAGCAAAGACTGTCAGGGGGAAGATTCCCCAAGATTTGGTTTCTTCAACTCAAAGGCACCAAACTTCAAAACCTCACTTCCATTCAAGCGAAAGGACGCATAAGGGTCAAATGCATTTTCTTGGCAACGCAACAACACAACTGTAAATGGGGGAGAAGCATTTTTCTCTAACTATCACCGCTTTCCCTACCATGACCTTATTACCACTCTGCATTTCTTCTTGAATCTTGTTACAAATCTTGAAATTCTTTGATTTGTAAGTCAGCACTTATATGCATGTATGCCTTGATATTTCTAATCCTTGGTGTTATAGAGGTGAACGGCCCGAAAAGTAGCGGTGTGCGTGCGACCTCACCTCCCTCGTCAACGGCGCACGACCGAGCAGCTGAGGAACACAGTGCCAGCCATACGTTGACGACGAACCCAGCTCCTTCGTCACGGCTGTCGCTCCAGGAGATCGCACTCAACGAGTCGAAAACAGAAAATTCAGCGGCGTGTGAGGAGCAGCAGCCAGAGGAGCACGCCGTAGCGACGACTGCATCGACGCAGGCCTCGACCAGCGCTCCCCGTCGGAGCAGCACCGACTCGGACAAAGTGCGGCAACCAGTGCCTAATGGCAGCGCCATGCGTGTCAACACTGCCACCTCCACCACCACCGCTCAAACTCCGGAAACCCCTGTCACTTCAAAAATTTCACTTCGTGCGCTTCAGGAAATGGTTCGTATGACTCTTACATCTCGGGATTGTTGTTACAGCATATTCACCGCACGCAGAAACAGGCCGCCGCTACTGCGGTCGATGTCGGAATCTCTCAGATCAAACGCATTTTCGTTCCTCTGTCCGTCTGTTTTCTCTCGCAAGGTATGATTGGACGCAACGGCGTCCAGTTTGTGCGTGCGACGAATTGTGTATAGTTTAGTTTCCAGCTGTTGGCAGAGCTAGTTATGCAAATTTTGAAGGATACCGCGATCTTTTATCACTTTACCAATGACTGTTTGGACCACTATCACCATCATTTAAGGAAGCATACCTCAGTCTTAATGAACCTGATATTGCTACAAATTGATTAGCGCAAAAAGACATTTTCATACGCCTTGGGCTGGCGCTTTCTGAAAATCGCAACACAGAGCGCCCATCCAAACTGAAGATTCTCAGATTATGATGCTGTATGACTAAACCAGTAATCTCAAAGTTCCTAGTTGCAAGCGCGCTCGCTTTGGGACTTGCTCGGTTTTTGAATGCACCTTACGATTCTTTATATATTTGATAACGAAGCCTTTGATTCAATTGCCCACACCCTGCAAAAGAAGACTCTCGAAGCGAGAAATTTGCTCTAGGAGGCAGAAGCGCGCAGGTGGCTCCGCCCATCAGTGTGGTTGTTCTAAAGATAATGAGACTCATAACCGGGCTTCAGGGTAGGTAGAAATGTTGAAAATCTGATAATCATAATGCAAAGCGGATTCATAACACTTCTAGGTACATTAGAGCCCAATTGTGGACCGATCACGTTGACGGGCGAAGCCGCCTAGGCCGCTTCTACCTTCTGGAGCATTTTTTTCGCTTCGGAAATCGTCTTTTGCAGCGGAACTCTCTTAGCTAGAGGGTCCGCTATCATACGGCATCGAAATTGAATTGCACCAATCTCGATTTGGGTAGATGGTATAATATTCGCGAGCATACCCCGCGCGACTTTATTCGCTCGCGTTTGTCGATATGCCAGAAATCCTTGAATTTGACACTCGAGAATTACAAACGTGTAGTACGTATGAACTTTTGCGAGTTAACAAAACGCCCTACCTTTCCTGTTTTCAAAGTGCGCTTCAGATAATTTGAAAATCTAAGTACTTCTTTTCCGCATTCGACCATTCACACTGCGGCACTTCGTCCTATTTTCTGCCCAGAAAATTGCTGTATTACGCATTACGGCTTTCTACTTTTTGTACAAAGTCTGAGAATGCCTTAAAGTACCAACGTAGTTGCTTCTGATGTATAAGTGCGCGCATTTTGTTCATCCTGTAATTCCCAGGAGGCTCCGCAAATGGAGTCAATTCATTTTGAGTATCTCACACTCGTATCCAACCCCTTTATATCGATCACATTTTGTTCTTATATTATGATTGAGCAGGTGAGACATGCAGAATGAAATCGCTGTCAAATGGACCATAGTCAATTCTTTTATTTTCCAGGCATTGACTGTATTCTTGCGGGAAAACTGGCAGAATACCGGCTATGAAACAGTTGACGTCACTTTACTCAGGGATCCCGCACTGGGACTAGGCATCACTGTAGCTGGTTATGTACATAGAAAAGGTAAGTCTGATTTGATAGGAGAGGATGGCAATGTTTCCCGAAGAAATTCAATAAATATCTAAAGAAGGTAGCCGAGTTATTCAGAAGGTAGATAAAGGTTAGATGTTAAACATTCACGACAATACGACCCACCGGTGTTCCGCCATTTCGGACAATACCACCCACTAGTGGGTCGTAAGATTCCTGAAGCTCTAACTTTGCCAGTTTACGATGGAATTCTGCGTGATTGTGGATTGTGAACACCTAGGCGAAGCACTAGCCAGAGTGATCCGGGCTAGGGATACTGTAATGTAATGCTACAGTTGGTGGGTATACCGTAGATAGAGATAAGGCACAGACTTTAGCGCAAATCCTCGCTGATGCTTTTTCTAAACATTCATGTGTACATGCATGAGAACTGGGCGGGCAAGATACTGATATTAGCCCATCAAACGTCGATATTATTGATTTTATTGATTTTTGAACTATTCGCCCTAAGAAACTGCAATTTTACACATATAGGTTTTGTAGCACGCTGATTACGAAAATGTTAGTCTCAAGTTCTGAAACCGCCTTCTTACATCAGTTTTTTAGTTTCCATGAAAATTCCACCGTACTGCTACCGTAGCCTTACTGTGGATACTAATGAACAAAGTGGACATGATTGTGATCAGCACGTGAAATAACCCCAAAACATAATTTTTTCATGAATGTTCATATGTTAGCTTTCTACAGATTGACTACCGTAAACCTACAATATAATGCCAAAAACTGAAATAATCCATATTGACATCCAGCGCCTTCGATATCTCCTCTGGGCATTCCTCGGAGACATATTTTGGACTTTTTTCCAAAAAGACTACCATTTCGGACAATACGACCCATAGGTGGGTTGTAAGTTTGACAAAACAAAGAAGGTCTGATCCGAAAGGGCAGTGATCGAAAAATCGGCCTTGTCGTGAATGTGTTAATGTGTGCGAATGCGCTAACCACACACTTGACACGTAAAATTCAGGATCTCATCAGCCACTCTGCGCACATGACATGACAAAAAACTTAGAATATCTTCCTCAATGTCGCGAAGGAAGGAAGAACTTAAGACCTTACCCGAAAGAGCGTCTGGGACCGCAATTTTTCGCGCAATGTTGTGATTGTGTATTCACACATACAAAATTGAAATACGAAATTGCTCCGCTGTATGTATGGGCTAGTACCTTAACGGTATATATAGTGGTCCTGCGGTGCCAATGCTGCCGACAACACTTGCCGGTGAGCAGACTGCCAGGAGGAGTGAAAGATGAAAATGTGCGCCTCCTTACAGCCACTTGCACGCTCACTTTGACGTTATCAGGGGCGTAGCAGTTCGCCCATGCGCAAATGTTTCGGCAAATGTCGACATGCAAAGACATTGTATTAGGTTGATGCAAAAGTAGTGCGCGTTTTGCGAGTTTTCACTTTGACGTGTTATAACTTCCTAAAAAAATCTACGTTTTTCAATGCGGAAAAACATCAGAGGCTCCATACCTTTCGCGATGCAGCGCACACCCCCCCCCCCCATAATCATATAACGGGCACAAAAATATGGATTGATAAGCAGAAAAATTCTTTTCTGACATTTCGTCTCTAACTGATCATAACTTTCTTCAAAATTTGTTAGTAATAATAAGTAGCCTATTTTGTAGCCGGAAGCCAGTAGTACAAAGAAGGTTGAAAAGGGTTTTAACGAAGAGGATTTGCGGAGAAGAAAAAATCAAAATCCAAAATCTCCGCTTTCTTTTGGAAATTTTTTCGCAGGCCTAGAAATCCCAAAATATGAAGTTGTTTGATTTTCTGCGTAATGACCAGTTACACAATTCTGCAAAAACTGTCAGTAGGAGGCTCACCCTTACGCTTACAGAAATGAGCAAAGCTTTGACGATTGCCCTCTTCAAAGGAAATTTATGGGTCACAGAATGATCAAAACGACTGCCCATTTGATTCGCCGAAATCTCAATCTAGGTAGTTATAGGTAGTTTCTGAGGAAACAGTAAAATGTATATAATGTGTAGACAATTTCCATTAAACACAGTAGCTAGAGTTCTAGGAGTTTGCCTTTATTCGGGCTTGATTTCTGGCCAGAAAAGTAAATGCAACGAAATTCTGGTTTCGAGCGCGGTTGTGTGAAGCTCTATCATTTCTTAACTAATAAAGCTGAAACCCGTTTTACCCACCATTGGATAGAGGATGAAAGGAGCTTTTTGATAGTATGCTAAGTTTTATCCAAAGAAGAAAGTTTGATCGAGAAAAGTCTCTTAAAACAAGGGCTAGAAAAACGCGCATTACTTTTGCATCAACCTAATAGTTGGCGTCAGATCTACTAAATGTATCACTGTTGTGAGCAAGCCGTCTCCACCCTTCCTAAAATCATCTGCTCTCCACTAGATAGGTTAATATCGATCAGATGGACAAAGAGAAAAGTCTATAGTTTGCACCGACAATGATCATAAAAGATTAGCACGATTATCAAGAGGCCATATTGTGAATTTTGTGGTCAAATACGATCCAAATTTTCCGCAGGGTTTTCTGGGGAGCACCCTTCTCCCTTTATATACAACACAAACAATTCCTGCTTTTTCGTCTATAATGCTATGGAAATTCATCAAATGATTGTCCTGCGGAGACTGGTCGCTATCGAGCAATCGCATTAGAAGCTAATACAACACGAGGTTGAATCTTACACAAGTGACCGAAGGCACCCTCCAACTAAATCTTCGTCTTCTGTTTTTGTCATGTGGGGTCTTTCCGTGACCCTGATCACAGATATGAGCAAAATGTGAACCCCAAAAAACCGATTTCTGAGAGCTCTATCCTGAAGGCACGACTTTCAGTATCTGGGTGGACGAAGCTTGATAGAGCGGGCGTGGCCTTATAGCACTTTCGCGGGTTCCATGCCCGTTTGCCCGTTTCCCCCTTCATAGACCACATTAGAGGACTGACCTACGCAGAATTCGTACTCTCAGCGCCTTCTTGTAAACTGGGAAATCGAGGAAGCGAAGGTTTTGCTTGGACGCTGTCTTTGAATCGTCATCTTCGCTTGCTACTCGCAGAAGCGGCAGTTTCTGTGAAGGGTAATTTGATTTTTCGTCGGCCCAGCACTGATGGAGCTAGGCGAGAGTGAGTGTGAGGGAAGGAACGAAGAGAGTGCAAGGCGACCGCCAAGGAACAAGCGCATGCGGCAAGAAGCGGGGGGGGGGGAAGCGAGTTAGGAGCCAGAGTCTGACGCACAGACGCGCAAGGCAGATGCGCTCAGGTCGCACAAATCTGATTGTCGTAGACGTTGCACTTCAGAGGAAATCGGTGGCGTGTTCGTAAAATCGCTCGTGCCACGATCAGCTGCCGCTCAATCTGGTCAAATCCGTGTTCATGACCTCATTTTGGAGGTGAGTTCTTGAGTCATTGATCTTTTGAGTCTTTGAAATAGCGCTTCTGTTCAATCATGAAAACAATGTCAAATAGAATGACAGTAATTCAAAATGGTCTCTTGAGCTTTCCAAGAGAGCCCCTTTTTAGAACTTCTTTTTGTTTTCCTAGCAGATATGGGGTACTAATCGTTCAGGCAAAACAAGTACTACAAAAGGTGAAGATCCACCTAAGTCCTGATCCAATTGCATTTGAGCCAATATCGCAAAAATCTTGTAATCAAAATTTTTTGCGAAAAGAACTCCTACGGGGCTTTGAATTGGTCGTTACAGAAGATGCAGCAGTAATCATTTGCTACATTTTTCGCGTATAGAGGTCGAGGAAAAAATAGCTCGAAAATGGCAGACTCCGTCCCTAGCTCCTCCCACATGCACTACAAGCCTCAGTAAGTATAATCTTGAAATTATAGCTCTGCTTCTGTTGCCGTAATCGGGAAATACCTATAAAGAAAAACAATGAAAGTGGCCTTTTTGCATTTTCGAGCTATTTTTGTTTCTCAAACTGAGGCGCGGAAAAAAATTCAGCAAATTTTATGAAGAGGTTGGTGTACTGTAAGATGGCTAAGTGAAAGGTCCGTGAAAATTTTTTTGGAAGAAGATCCGACTTTCTAGGGCATTTAAAAATTTTGATTTTTGACTACAAACTTTACCTGGATTACTAGGTGGATCTTTGGCGATCATTATGTAGAGCTTGCTTGACTCTTCGAATAGAACCGAAAGCCTGTAGAAAAACGCAAACAGTTGATTTATTCAAGAGGGAATATTTTGAGACAACTTATGCGGTAACTGCAACACACAAACAATACCGCTCACATTTAAAAAAAAGACGCGGATGTCACATCATGTATGAACATCACCGTCGCGTGGCCATATCTCGCTTCAGAGTGGACGAATTCTGCATCTAAAGCCACCATTCGACTCAGGTCGGCGCAAAGCATCTTCTGATATGTAGAATTGCTCGCTTGGACACAGTAGGAGGTCAGGTTCCACGAATCGTTTCAGATTTTTGCTTACGGTAGGTTACTCAGTGTGCTTATTCATTGCACCCACTGGGCAACCTACTTCTGAAACGATTCGTGGAATCTGACCTCCTAATGAGTTCAAGTGGACACTTCTATATATCAGAAGATGCGTCGCGCCGACCTGAGTCGAATGGTGGCTTTAGATGCAGAACTCGTCCACTCGAAGCGAGATATGGCCACGCGACGGTGATATTCATACATGATGCGACATTTGCGTCTTTCTTTCAAAAAATGTGAGCGGTATGTAGCATACCCAAATCGGTAAGGTTCATTTGACAAACGTCACCATCATATGACGTTCTTTGAAACGCTTATTTCCTCCCTTTCTTTTTAATTCGTATCACATTACATGCGTCCGGCGTCATGATGAAGGCAGAATCAGTCCTGTCAGAAGTATTATACACCTCAAAATTTGTATTGTGACAACCAAGATAATCTGAGTGCTTGGTTTTTTTCAGCTTTGATTCATTTTTTATAAGGTCAATGGTATGTCGCTAGAGCACCTATCACATGCGGATTCAGTACGGACTTTGGTTAGAAGTGGTGAAAACGTGCATTTACGTCTCATTCGTTTTCCACCCGACAGCGCACAAGCACAGTGCTTGAAAATGCTTCAGGAACAGGTAAGTGGCAGATTTTCGGCTTGTTTCTCCAGTTTCCAACTTTCTGCTTCTGAAGTGATTTTTGGCCACTTGTGACAACATAGTTTTATTTCATTTCATTTATTTCATTTGTGTTTCTTATCTTTCAGTCGCTATTCTTTCGCATATTCCACATCTCAATCGAGCCAAGCTCTTCGAGGAATATATATTTTTACAAGTGGTTATAGTATCCTCAATTGCCTGTTCCCCCCACCCCCTCCTCCCCCAGTGCGAACTCTGAGCTTCGTAGCTCAAAATTTGCAAAGAATCAATAAACTCCAAAGGTAATCGATAATACCAAATACTAATATCGTATTCGTAATCAGCATGCTCACTTCCCCCCCCCCCCCTCCCCCAGGGCCCGGCGGGGGTGGCGCTTTCACAAGCTGGATATCGTTTTTGGCCCGAAAAAGCAAAGGGGAAGTCGTATTTTGGGGTCCGGGGGCGGAGCCCCGGACCCCAAAATACGACTTCTCCTTTGTTTACCGATAAACAATGCACATATCATTCTTTATTCATCATTCTTTGTTGATGTTACTGTCCTATGAACTTAGATTCCAGCAATGTGAAGATTCTGTGCTCCGATCGCTAGCCTGCCCGCAGGTGGGAATTCAAATCGCAATTCTTGTAAGACTAAAAAAATAGGCTCGTTTTCAATGCACAAGTAACGATATGGCACCAAATGTGCTGTATAGTTGGAGGATCATGAGCACAAAAAAAGTATGAAGAATTATGAGAAACTTATGTGAATTTCAAAAAGGGTAAGTGTTTTTCGAAATTAGGTGGCTCCCGCGCCACCTGGGATCCACCTGGGATGGCTCCCTGCTTCCCTTCACATAATTTCCCGGATTTCTTTATATAAATGTGGACTAGGTCGAGATTATTACTATATGTTCAAATCCGCTTCCGAAACCACCAAGGCACCGCTTCGATACAGCCCCAAATAGGGTTCACAGCGTTATGATCGGCCTCGGAAAGCGCGCTCCAATCGCAGTCGGTTATTGTAAATTGTAAAGTTTCGCAGCTGACTAATAAATGAGTAGTATCTTAGATATATAAACGTTGTGCAAATCTTGACCCTATCAGAAATTCAGCTCAGTAGGTTATACGAAAAGTTTAAAGTAATCTAATTATTTGAGATATAGGCCTTGTAAAATCTAATTGCCTGCGCTTCGTTTGAAACCAACGCAGAAGCGGCTAGAGACGTTAGGTCCCGAAGCGATATAGGCTAATCACAGCCGACAGTGTCCCGCCCCCCTTCCACGTATTTTTAAAAAAATTTTAAGTCTCTTTTGGCTAAATCATAATGTGCAATGCTGATATAGTGTGGGCTTCGGCCAGCTTCTATAGGTGAAGTTCATTTATAAAATCGTGACAACGATTTTTGCTGCGGACTTTGCGCCCATAAGAGCATAGAACGCTCATACAAAAAGGCATCACCTCAACGTTCAGCTCAGCCACTTCCAGTATCCAAATAATATCATACGTAAGCAAAAAACCATTCGAATAGAGATGAAAACCAAGAATATGCAATTTCCGGAAGTCGCGCACATGCCGCGCGCGTCGCGCCATCGTCACGACTTTTCAAATCTTATATATAAAGCTGAATGTCTGTTTGTCTGTATGTCTGTCTGTCTGTCTGTCTGTATGTATGTCTGTGTGTACGTATGTTCCGAATAGAAAATTCCATTTCTGAACCGATCCGGACCAAACTTGGCACACATACACTACGGGCCCCGGCGGGTGTCATAGGCTACTTTTCGTCATCGATCGATATCGATTTTATCGATTTTATCGATTTTTTTGCAAAGTTTGAGCTACGGGGCTGGGAGTTGGCACAGGGGGGTAATCGAGCATGGGGATTCCGAATACAATATTGGTTTTCAGGATTATCGATTACTTTTATCGATTTTATCGATTTTTTTGCAAAGTTTGAGCTACGGGGCTGGGAGTTGGCACAGGGGGGTAATCGAGCATGGGGATTCCGAATACAATATTGGTTTTCGGGATTATCGATTACTTTTATCGATTTTATCGATTTTTTGCAAAGTTTGAGCTAGGGGGCTGGGAGTTGGCACAGGGGGGTAATCGAGCATGCTGATCATCCCCAAGGGGGTGATCAGCATGCTCGATTACACCCCTGTGCCAAATTCCAGCCCCCTAGCTCAAATTTTGCAAAATCGATAAAATCGATAGAAGTAATGGATAATTCCAAAAACTAATATTGTATTCGTAATCTGCATGCTCGATTACCCCCCTGTGCAAACTTTCAGCCCCGCAGGTCAAACTTTACGAAAAAATCGATAAAATCGATAAAAGTAATGGACGATCCTGAAAACTAATATTGTGTTCGTAATCGGCATGCTCGATTACCCCCCTGTGCAAAATCCCAGCATCGCATGTCAAAATTTACAAAAAATCGATAAAATCAATAAAAGTAACAGATAATTCTGAAAACTAATATTGTATTCGGAATCCCCATGCTCACTTCCCCCCTGTGCCAACTCCTAGCCCTGTAGGTGAACTCTGCGAAAAAATCGATAAAAATCGGTAAAATCGACATCGATCGATAACGAAAAGTGGACTGTGACACGCGCCGGGGCCCGAAGTGTATGTGTGCCAAGTTTGGTCCGGGAGCCGGGTAAGCCAGCTAGTGCCCTATATTTCCCCAGCATAGATGCATCGCGTGCTTTGTTGACGCTTCTCATCTCACTTATGAACAAAAAATTTTTTACGTGAATGTAAGAGTGAAGTAAAAAGTGAAATTCTCTAATCTCAGCTCGAGAAAAGCTTAAGCAGTACGCTTACGACTTTCACCCTAGTTTCTGGTCAGTCTCATAGATACTACTATGATAGTGCCAGTGATGGGTGAAAATCGCAGAAGCAACAGAGGGAGGATAATTCTCGAAACGCTTTCCCTCTATATACTTATAAAAAATCTAAGAAGTGTAAGCTTGAGAGCGTGATTATACAAGCAGAAGCTTCATGCCGCATTGAAAAGAACTAAAAACATCTATACAAAACAAACTCAATTGGATAGATACGCTATGACAGAAACCTTTGAAGAGAAATCTCCCTAAAATAAACTCAATCTTCACTACCGAGGAAAAAAACAAGAACTTTCTGAGACAAAACCTGGCTCAAACTTATCATCATCAGCTGTCGTACGTCTTTTAACCCTAAAAGATTACAAAAAAAAAAACAAAGTCAGTAAAGGAAGCGCATAAAACTAGAGGCTGGGACGAAAAGCGCACTGAATGCATGCGCTGTGTGCGCGGCGCGGAAGTACATGTGGGAAGCTGGCCGGGGTCCACACTATAACAACATGAGTGTTGACAGGAAAATTCTCGCCTCTAGTGCCTCGGCGACAACCGCTCGCTTGTGCTGGTGTTCGCGGCACGTCGCAAGCAATTAGGTTTTACACGGCCTGTACCTTCAGTTTTGATCTCCTGCCTTCTTCTTCCTTTAGGATTGAAAATAAAAATCACATTTTGAACTGTCCCATTTCTCACAATGAATGCCAAAATCACATAACGTGTTTATTTTATCGCAGTGCGGGTGCGTTTACACTGTTTGCTTTTTCTTTGAAAGAAATCCAACTCTGCAAAATCTCGGGCTGTTTGAGTGAGGGCTTTTCAAAGCTTCTGCCCATTTACTGTTTTCCTTGGTTTCTATAAAACGATTGTATCGATATCTTATTATTAGTAACGAAGCTGGAGATCACTGGTACTTTTATGGAAATGCTTATCGCTCTTCCATCTTTTTTCACAGTGAAAAAATCCTGCTCACTGCCATGATGTTGCCACAGGAGTCTCCAACGAACAGGCTGTTTAGTTGTTGGTAAATCGCTTGTTTCGTAATTTCTTCTCCCATTATAGCTTATTTTATATCGATGCAGTAATCGTTCCACTTGCGATTTTTTGTTTAAGTCTGCGATAAAAATTTGAAGGAAATTTAGCGCTGTTCGGTTCTCAATATCACTCAGCTGAGACCCGGTGGAAGTTGAACATTTTGTTAAATATGGAAAGAACGCTGGCCTTTGACTATATCGTATATTGCAATCCCTCTTTCCGAAAGTTATGATATACCGAGAATAATCTTTTCTGATGTTTCAGGTTTGATTATAATCAACAGCTACCAATGGGGAGATGCTGTAGAGAAGCGGGGCCCCTATTCGAGTAATTTCTTTCCCGCTGCAAAGATGGATTCTGAAACGGGAAATCGCTCCAGTTTGAAGCGTTCCAGGTGACTCGCCTATCAACGTGGATGGTCTGAAGATATGAGTTCGAAAGCGGGCTCCAGGGTAGATAGAGATATCGAAAATTTGATAATCATAATGAAGGGAGGAGTCGTGACACTCCAGATACACTGGAGCCCGATTTCAGACTTTTTATCTCTAGACCAACCACGTTAATTGGTGGAGGCAATCGAGCGTTTCTAATTCTGGAGCGTTTTTCTCGCTTGATTTTATTTTTTGCAGCGGGGCTTGAGCGATGTCTTAACTAGGGGTTTGCTATCATACAGCATCAGAATCTCAGAATCTTAATTTGATTGGACGGTACCCTCAATTAAAAGCACAAATTCCTCAAGCGTGGAAAGCAAGAAATGGCAGCAAAGGAGATTTGAACAAGAGGCTTTTTACATGTTATCATAGCATCTCATCCAAGATAACAAATCGGAACTCATGCTCATGGGCTAGGGAAAAACGCCAACTACTATCATCTAGGTAGTCAATGGAATGGAATGCTGCGTTTTGTGATTCCCATCGTTCGCAGCCAAAATGCATTTGTTTTGCTAAGTGAATTCCCAAAGCAAAGCGTTTGAATGCAGAAGACACGTTGCTTGCCAATTTTTTCTGATCAAAGTTGATAACCTTTCCCGCTGACTGACTTTCTGCTATATCCTCTTCCTCGATATTTTAGCATCAAATTCCGTGTATGAAAGCTGCTGTGAGAACCCTTATTTGCGAATCAGTAGTGTTC